TTTTTTTTTTTTTGAGGCAGGGTTTCTCTGTAGCTTTGGAGCCTGTCCTGGAACTAGCTCTTGTAGACCAGGCTGGTTCTTGAACTCACAGAGATCCACCTGTCTCTACCTCCCGAGTGCTGGGATTAAATAGGCACTGCCCAGCTGAGCCCTATAGTTTAATGTCTTGGGTGAACTAGGGAGTTAGCTCACCATCTGAGCATGGTGAGCGTGGAGATGGTAAAGGGGTCTAAATGTTCAGGATAACAGAAGCAGCCGCTGCCTGCAAGTGGACATGACTGTTGGGAGGTTAAAGTCAAGAGGCGCACGCACCACTGCAGGCTTGGAGCTGGGGAGCATCCGGGAGCCAGCAGGATGCCTGCTACCCCAGTGCCTGCGCAGGTGGAGCATGGTATATAGCATGGTATTATAGATTGAATATGGACACGGAGAACCTAAAATAACATCAAATGAATACGGTGCTTGGAAGACAGAAGCAAACGGCTACACAGAGAATCCCTGTCTCTAAAAACAAAACAAGAAATAGTGAAAAGGAGATCAAAGCTGTGCGGTGAAAGGCTCATCTGGAGAGTGGTATTTTCCGTGGATACATGCAAAAACGTTTCGCTCCCTTTGACTATTTCCTTTGAAATTGAAATCAACTTTGATTTACGATAGAACAGAAGGGATGTGGCTTAGCAGTAGTGCACTGACCCAGCATGAGTGAAACCCTGGGTTTGCCCTCCAGTACAAGGAAAACCAGCGGCTGGACAGATGGTCAGTGGTTAGGAGGACTGGCTGCTCTTCCAGAGGCCCTCGGTTCAGTCCCCAGGACCCACATCATGAGGCTTACAACTGCCTGTAACCCCAGTTCCAGGGCATCCAGTGCCCCCTTCTGGCCTCTGCAGTACTGCAGACACGGTGCACAGACATTCAGACCCCCATGCATACATACACAATGAATTTCTTTTAAATAAAAACATCTAAAAACACAATAAGTATGCAAAAAGGTGAAGATCAATCAAGACACTTGACATTCATTAATTTTTTTTTTTTCGAGACAGGATTTTTCTGTGTAGCTCTGGATGCTCTGGAACTCACTCTGTAGACCAGGCTGGCCTCCAACTCATGGAGATCTGCCTGCCTCTGTCTCCCTAGTGCTGGGATTAAAGGTGTGTGCTACCACCACCCAGTGACATTGATTTTTAATCTCCATGACAAAATGCGCACACACCTACACACACATGCATGCACATACACACTGCCATGTACATACATAAAATAAAACGATAGTTTTCCAATCCACAGAAAGTGCCTGAAATATTAAGTATTTTTCTGTGGCAGTGTTAAGAACTTTATATTCTTACTGAATTATTTATTTTATGGGTTAACAATGTGGCTGCCATGGAACTGCTCTAGGCATTGCCAGTTTCTTTGAGGATACATGAATGTCGATGAGTAGCACATATGTAATGGACAATTTTATGCAAGAGGCCCAAGTGCAAAGGCAGAAGATGGCGTTGCATGCAGACAACTCTGGTTGAACGGAGGTAGAATAGATAGCTTACTGAGACCTCGGGGTCCCCATTTGATTTCCCTGCAAGAACACATGAGGAGGTATGGTGGAATGTGCCTGCAATTACAGAAAATGGTAGGCTGAGACAGGCAGATCGCTGAGACTTTGGGACCAGCCTGGGGTACACAGTATTTGTCTTAAAAAAAAAACCTGGGGGAACAAAACAGTATTATGGTGCCTGCCTGTAGCCCTAGGATGTGGGCAGTGGCAGCAGAAGGATCAGGAGTTCAAGGCCAGCCTCATCTATACAGCAAGTTGGAAGACAACCTAGGTCTCGAGATTCCCCCTTTCAAGAAAAACAAACACAGAAACAACAACAAAACCCAAACCAAACAAGAAGAAAACCAAGTATTTGCACATTGAATTTATACCTTTCAAAGAGCAATCATTCCTTGGCTTCACAGTTCCTTATCCGACAAGGTCACTAAACTGGAAGTCTACAGGAAAACAAGTGTTTATTCTGATGTGATTTTACTATTTCCTCCCAAGCTCCTGTTGAAACCTAACCGCTACTGCAACCATAGTAACAGGTGGGTCCTTTAACAGCTATATGCCACAAGAGCCCCAAATTCAGGAATGGATTAAGGCCACTGTCCTTAGCGTGGATTAGCTGTCTTGGGACTGGGTTCCCGATACAAAGGGGATGGATGTGTCTTGATATGTAACTTGATGCCCTTTTCTGGTCTGTGCCCCCACCCAGCACTTCATGCACACAGTACACATACATACATGTGGACAAAATACTCACACACATAAAATACATTTTTTATGGGAAGCTGGAGAGATGGCTCAGCAGTTACAAGCACTTGTTCCTTTGGCAGAGGGTTTACTTCCCAACACCCACATAGGGTGACTCACAACTGACTGGAGTTCCGTGGGACCCGATGACATCTGGCCTCAGAGGAACGTGGCACACACACAGACAAGCAGGTACATACAACACACATTTAAAAAATGCAAAAGGTCTTTAAAAAATTTTAAGAGTAAATAAATAAAAGTCATAAATGAGGATGGGGTGACATTGAAGTGACAAATATAGGCTACACAATATAGGGGAAATTGAGAATGTCAGCTTTTTTTTCTGGAGTGTACCATATATTAAAATATGGCTACTTTTTACAGTTCCGTCATGGGAGGAATTTTTACAAGCAGGTTGTTCATTTTTTTAATTGGGCTGTCTGCACTATGTCTAATTCGACGAACTAATTATAATGAGAGGCAAAAGGGGGTGACAAGTGAAAACTAAAATTGCAATCTCTTCCCAAAGGGGTAGACTGAGTTCTTCAACCCTAGTTTAAAACAGTTCAACACTGGGCATTGCAAGCCGGTAGAGGGCGCGCTCGAGACCAAGAGACCGTGGAGCTGTAAAGGAGGCAGCTAGTGTAGGTAGACAGCAGAACAGGGAACCTCAGCTGACTTCATATTGGGTTGTAAAGGGTGTGTGTGTGTGTGTGTGTGTGTGTGTGTGTGTGTGTGTGTGTGTGTGTGTAAGAAAATGGACCAGGGCTGTGCTCTGTGGTTTTTGCCACGATGGTCTTGGCCCGTTGGTATCGAGGTCCCAAACGACCCCATTTTACAGATAAGACAACAGAAACATCTGTTTGTCTGATCTCAGGTAGCCCAGGCTGGCCTCAGGTTGAAGGATGACCTTGAACTTCTCCCCCCCCCCCCCCCAAGATGGGTGTTGTATTACAGTGCTGGTTTTAGGCAGTGCTGGGGGAATTGAACTCAAGGACATGTCATGCTAGGCAGACACCCTATCAAGAGAACTACATTCCCAGTCCTGAAAGTGAGACAGTTGTTTAATGGGTGCCCTGTGGAGTTCAAATGTGAACAAACCTATAATCAGTCTCAACCTCTTCTCCAACCCCCTCCCCTTTCTCCCTTCTCTTCGTCCCCTTTTTCTTTTGACCAGGAGAAAAAGAATCTTTCTAATTCCTAATAAGCACCTCCAGGTATCCGTGCTAATGAGCCTGAACCAACTTTTCCGCAGGAAGAAAGGGCTTAATTGGTAAGCAGAGATGAGCTCAAAAAACCTCGTCAGGCCGTGGCAGCCTCTGCCCTTTAATGGTTGTAGTGGGTCTTTACTATCCCCTTTCCTCTCTGAAGATGCCGGATTCGAGCTGCTCCTGGGGGCTCAGCATCCGCCGCCCAGGTCCACCCGCGCGTGATGCTATACCCTCCGAGCCTTCATCCGCACTAGGGGACCCAGACACAGAGACACCCGCACCCTCGGAGGTCGATAGCTGTAGCCCCATCACCGTCTACTTCAAGTAGTAAACGAGGGCCTCGAGAGCCCCCGGGCGCCAGGCCGGGCGCGGAGGCGACGCGCGCTCTGGTGCCCGGTGGCGCGCGACGCCCTGGACGGTGCGCGTCCCCGCTTGCAGTTCGGAGAACGAGGGAGTACCACAGTCCTGCCCAGGTCCCTCTCTTCCCCCACCTTTTCCCGGGCTCTCTCCCCGTTGAGGGGCTCTGGAGGAGCCACGGACACCAACCAGTACCGACCGGTATCCGCCAGTTCGGAGATGCTCCAACCCTGCGGCAATTTCTGGCCTCAGCACAGCCCTAGGGTACTCACCGCACGCAGCCTGCAGGGCTATCGTCTCACTCGGCTCCTGGTCCCCACCCGTGAACTTGCAGGACTGTTCCGAGAACCCGGGGCCGCTGGGCGTGGGGATTGGTGGCAATATCGACCAGCATCCTGCAGATGCGGCGCCTGGGGCTCGGCTCTCCGCCCGGCTCCGTGCGCTCCGTGCAGGGCTCCGGGACTCGCCCTCTGCTCGCTGTCTGGCCAGGTGAACCTTCTGGAACCTAAGGCTCGATGCTTCCGTCCTGTAGCCTTTAAAAAGGCTGCATTTGGAAGGGTCCGAGCCTACCCCGAGCTTTCTTCCAATCCGCGCAATTTCAGAGCTCCACGCTGGTTCATTCCTATACCGGCTAATTCTGGTTTGGCAGGAAAAAAAAAAAAATCTGCGGGCTCCTCACAGGCACACTCTTGTGGCCGCTTGAAGTTTATCGCCTTGACTAAGATTTGCCAATGTTGTGCACATTTGCAACCTTAGGAAATGGCCAGAAATCTCAGTGGTGTGGGGGACATCAGAGGTATCTTTCTTCCCCTGCCTCCCGGACTAGGAGGGAAGTAATGAACCAGACCTTCATATGATTCGCGGCTGAAAAAGAGACATATTAGAGCGAAGAGAAATTCCAATATTCAAGGCCACAGTGGACTAAAAATCCCACATCTTTGTCCTAGCCTGGGTACCTCCTTTTTCCATCTTTCTGAAGTACCTGTTATCTTCACTCATAGATGGGCAACATAATGCATAGTATTTTGTTAAATAAAAGAAGCAAGCGCTCTTTGACCTAACCTGACCTGTTCTGTACTTCCCTACTATAAATGACCACAAACATAGTGGCTGAAAGCAACACAAATTCATTATTTTACGTTTCTGGCAGTCAGAACCTGAACTGGGCTTTACCGGGCTAAAATTCTGCGTGTTGGCACTCCGCAGGCCTGTGTTCTTCCTGGCAGCTCTAGCTGAGCCACCAGCTTCTGCAGGCTGCCCACATGCCTTGGCTGGCAGCCGCTTCCTCATCTTCAGAACCATCTACATTACATCATTCTGTCTGTCTTGGGTACTAGGTCACCCTCTCTCTATTGTTTGCCCCTCTCTCTTCCTTTTTCATTTACATTCTTTCAGAGGTGTAAAATTTATTTATTGTGTGTGTATGTGCGTGTGTGGAGGCCAAAGGGCAGCCTCTGGGAGGCAGTTTTCCTTCCACTCTGTGGGTTCCAGGGATTAGGCAGGCTTGGTGCAAAGACCCTTTCCTGCTGAATATTCTCTCCAGCCTCTTCTCTTCCACTTGGGGTTATCTTGATCCTGCCTGGATAATTCACACATCTATTTTAATACCAGCTGACTAGAAATGCACTTCCATCTGCTACCTTGATTTTCCTTCTGCCATTTAAGGTCACATAGTCACAGGTTCCTGGGATTCAGATATAGATTTCTTTAGGGGAACCAACTATACTGCCCATCATGGATTTCCTTTCCTCCCTCCTTCTTTTCCAGAAGACATTCGTGTGTATTTTATAGAGTTGTTGACTTTACTTTTATTTTATTTAATTTTCAAGAGACAGCGCTTCACGTGCCCCAGGCTGGCCTGGAAGTAGCTATGTGGCTGAGGCTGGCTTTGAACTTCAGATCTTCCTGCCTCCACTTTCCAGGTCCTGGGATTATAGGCATATACCACCACAGCCACCTTCCGCAGCGCTAGAGATGAAACCCCAGACTTGGTGCCCGCTAGGCAAGCGCTCTCTGGGTTGAGCTCCGTTCCCAACCTTCTTGTGCTCATCCTAAGCACTGAGATGATCGCGAGGAATGGCTAAATGAGGACATTTGCAGGAACACTTCTCTGATGATGACAGCGGAGCAAATGGATGGTGAGTACTCCCTCGGGCTGATCTTCTCAGATGTCAGGCATTCTGAACGGGCTTTTGACAGCAAGTCCAGAGCGGGAAGATGGGTGTAGTGGCTCACACTTTCACTCCCAGCACTTGGGTGGTTGGGAAGTTCAAGGTTAGTCTGGGCTACAAAAGAGCGGCATTTTTTTTCTTAAGGTGGAGAGTTCCAAGCAAGGATCTCAATACAGATGGATCCATCTGTTTTTAAAAAGAGGTGTTATGGATTGAATTAAGAGGTGTTATGAGACATCCCCCACAGGCTCATGGTTCTGAGCACTTGGTCCTCAGTCATCAGTGTTGGTTGGGGGAGGTTATGAAAGCTTGGGACACGTGGTGTGCCTAGCAGGAGTGAATGGCTGTGGGCAGACTTTGAAGATTCTAACCGCTTCTGATGCTGGCCTGACTTCTCTACTCCCTGATCCACAAGAAGTAAAGAGATACCGACACATGCTCCTGCTGCCATAGGTGGAGCCTCTCCACGGTCACGCCTTCTTTGCCACTGAAGACGTAAGCTGTGAACCCTTGAACCAAAGTACCCGCCCTCCCTTAAATAGTTTCTGCCAGCATTTTGTCATAGTAAAAAAGAAACTAATACTAGAGGTCCTGTGAGATCAAGGTCCCCTCCTGACCTCCTGGGCCTGGAATCTTGTATTTATAGGAGTATGATTTATTGTAAATCTGGGAGAACCATCACCTCCGTCAAATAACTCCCAAACCCTACCTGTGTCTCATTCTCTCAGATGTCCCCAGGCAGCCTCTCACCCACCCAATACATCTATTTTTTAATGTAAAAAATTGCAATGCAAGGCTGGCATGTCCCACTCCTATAATCCTAGCACTCGGGAGGCAGAGGCAAGCAGATCTTTATGAGTTGGGGGCCACCCTTACATACATAGTGAGTTCCAGGATAACAAGACCTGCACAGTGAGATCCTGTCTGAAAGAAAGTAAGAAAAAAAATTATAGAATGCAATAAGAGGCACTCAGTTTGGGAAGGGAAATGTAAAATTATCTTTAATTTCGGGTGATATGATTACATATAGAAATTAATGGAAGTCCACGAAAACATTAGGATTAGTCAATGGGCTCAATGAGATTCAGTGCAGTTTCATTGGCAAAAGCTTCAAAAAGAACTTTCAAGGCTGGGAACCAAGTTCAGTGAAGTACTGTACTCTGAAAAGTTACAGGAGGTTACTGAAAGAAACAGAAGAAAAATCGAATGAATGCAGTGCTGGAAAGATGGCTCAGCAGTTAAGAGCATTGGCTGCTCTCCCAGAGGACCCAGGTTCGATTCCTAGCCCCTCTAGGGCAGCTCACAACTGTCTGTAATTTCAGTTCTAGGGGGATATGGCACCCCCACATACATGTAGGCAAAACACCAAATACACATAAAACTAAACACATCTTTAAAAAAATGAATGCATGCATGCATCTCTGGGTACCCGCGACCTCGAGTCCCAGGATTTTTCTGGAAGTCTGACTTGGCTGGCTGGGTCCACTGCAAGAGGAGGTCGCCATTTTGCAGGATGAGTGTCAGTATTAGGGACCGCTTAACGCTGCATGATTGGCCATGATGTAACCAAGGCACTGTCCTGTCCCTGTAGAGGCCGTTGAGCATGCACGGCAAAAACCGGGAGTGCATGGTGCCTACGTGTCTAAGTCAACTGGACCTGAGCAGAAAATAAACCCCTCCATTGTCCATCTGTGTGACTTGGCCATCAGCCCTAAAGTGGAGATAATCGCAGCACTTACATCATAGAGTTATTGCAAAGGTTAAATGATACTGTGTGTCAATCACCCTGTCTCCATATTGCTAAGAAGCATGTTTCTGTTTCTTTAATTTTTTTTAAACTGGGCAGTGGTGGCACATGCCTTTAATCCCAGCACACAAGAATCAGAGGCAGGTGGTGTGGCAGAATTGTCTGTATTGTGTCAATCATATTTTAAATAAATGCTGATTGGCCAGGCAGGAAGTTTAGGCGGGTCAGCGAGACAGGAAGTAGAGGCAGGGTGATGAGAACAGGAGAATTTTGGGAAGGAGGAAGCCCATTCCTCCCATTCCTGCCCAGACCATGGAGAAGCAAGATGTAACCTGTCCGGCTGAGAAAGGTACTGAGCCATGTGGCTAGCATAGATAAGAACAATGGGTTAATATAAGCTACAAGAGCTAATAAGTAGCCTGAGCTAATGGGCCAATCAGTTTTATAACTTATGGAGATCTCTGTGTGATTTTCTTTGTTACTTGCAGGCTGTAGGGTACGGGGTGGGACAGAAACCCCAACAAGCTGGCCCTCATATTACAGGCAGGTAGAACTCTGAGTCTGAAACCAACCTTGTCTACAGAGTGAGTTTCAGGACAACCAGGGCTGTTACACAGAGAAACCATATCTTAAAACAAAAAAATTATTTTAAGTGTGTGCATGCGTGCGTGTGTGTGTGCATGTGCACTTGTGGGAGCAGGTGCCCACAGAGGAGGGAGGTGACAGATTCCCCAGAGCTGGAGGTACAAGCAGTTATAAGCTGCCTGTGGTGGATACGAGGAACCCAACTCGGGTTCTCTGTGGTATGTGCTCTTAACCACCTCTTAACCACTGGGTCATCCCATCCAGCCTCCAGGTTGGTTTTTTTGCTTCCTAAAGTAAAAATGGCCTACAGAGTTCATGGATGAAATTGTCCACCACTGGTGCTTTTTTCCTTTGAATCAGGGTCTGGTTTTGTAGTGCAAGCTAGCCAGAAACTCACAATCATCCTGCTTTAGCCTTCTAAGTCCTAGAGTTCCAGGCGCTCACCACCATGCTTGATCACGTTCCTTTGGTACCACAGTCCTTTTGGGAGGCAGCAGAAATCACCAGGGTGGTCATAAAACATGGAGACTCCGCTGGCACATGCCTTAAATCCCAGCACTCTGTGAGTTCGAGGCCAGTCTGGTTTGCATAGCAAGTTCCGGGACAGCTGGGGATACACAGCAAAAAGCAAAAAAATGAACCAGCCAAACAAAAATCCCTGGAGACTCTTTGGACGCAGTGAAATTTCAGTTCTCATCATTTATTTCACATCTTTCCTTTGGGCAGGGCGTGGGAGTGGGGTCGTGTTTAATGCGACATTAGTGATGAGCAATTGTAGAAGTCACTGAGATTGCTTTGTAGGAAGCGAAGCAAGACTCTCACCAAGGCCAACAAATGACTTTGACTGCTAGAATTTACACACCAGTGGGAAGTTGACAAACCAATTTAAAGACTGTGGGTAACTGCTGACGCCTTAGCCAGGCAGAACGGGTGAGAAGCCATCAATAAATGCCTAAATCACCACAACGTACAGGTTTACAAAAGCTATCCTAAAAACAAGACTCTTGGGCCCTGCTGAAACTTGGCTCTTGGGAGAAAAAAAGATTTTATGTTTAATCTCTCTTCCTCCTACTGCAGTTTCATGTGAGGGAAAAGTAATTATTTTTTCCTCGTATTAGTT